TATTTAATATAAATATTTTAATATGTAAAAAATATATGAATATTTGAATATGAAATATTCTGTAGCTCAGCTAAATAATATTTTAAGAATCTATCTATGCTGTTTTGAAGAGCTCCCTTTTACAACCTGCTCAACCTTGAGAGAAGCCCTTTAAAACGTTGACAAATGCCCAACCAGGCCAGCCATGGTGGTTAGCCAAAAAGTAAGTTATGCAACCGCTGCACCACTGTTGGCTGGCTGGCTGGCTGTCTGGCTGTCTGGTGGTTGTCATAATAGTCAACGCCTTGTCTCACATTTAAATGGACGTACAATAAAAGACCATAAAAAATACAAATAAAAAGAAAACAAATGAAAACCGCACAAAGCATTGGCTCCGGCATGGTCAACGCTAATGGGCAGTCATTGACACCGCCATTTTCTTGGGTGGTGCTGCTGGTGGTGCCATCCATTGCACCATGCGGTGTTTCGCTTTTGTGGCACACCGAAAATTTGCATTTGCATGCCCCAGGAAAAATTAGCTGCTTTTTTGTTGTTGTTATTTTCTTGGACTTTGTGGGTCACTCTAGGCCAGACAATCAAACGACCTGCATATACACTATAAAAAAACAACAAGTGGAGCGATATGTGCATGTGTGTGTGTGCTATTTTTCGTAACAGCTACTATTTGTGGCTTTATTTAAATGATGTCAGAGCCAAAGCCAAGCCAGAGCCGCTTTTGGCAGCAGCCATGTGGAAAGTGAATGCGGGAAATATTCGTCGACATGCGAGTTTTTCTTTCTTTCAATCTTTACCGCCCCGCCAATAAACATATGTGAGTGCGTGTGTATGTGTATGCATGTGTATTTGTGTGTGTGTCTTTCTACTGGATTGGTCATTATAAGCCAGTCAGTGGGCCAACTTGTGATGGAGTGCGGGCTAAGAGGGAGCTGCAATGTCTTGGCAATTCGAATATTGCGACGCGTAATCGCCGCCAATTTGACGGAAAATATTTGAAATGTTGTGCGGCTGTCTCTGTGTGTGTGTGTGTAAATTGTAATCGAAAATAACAAAATTAATAACAAGCTTTTGTTTTGTTGCGAGTTTTAATTGCTGCATTTGCGTTATGTGGCAAATTAGATAAGAGAAACGAACAATTCGTGCGGTAATGCAATATTGGCTATATAATCAATGCGTCTCAAATGGAAGGAG